GGGGGGGGGGGGCTTTGTGCGGTAAGACTAAGCATACGCGTCGTTCTTTACCTCTCCCTCAGCAGTGCGCATGACAACAAAATGTCTGGAAAACTTGGGGAGTATGAAAATTTTCACCCCCCCACCGCTTTTTTTTTTCCTTTGGTTTTATTTTTGCGGTAACCATGAATGGTGGTCGAGTAGATTGTGTTGTGCGGGGTCGAGAACGCTCACTCCGCGCAAGGGGGATAATCGCACCACGTTGTGATAAAATTGGTCAGCACTCTCGAGGCAGTTACGAAGTGCTTACAACTGCTTATGAAAGCACCAGAAAATAAATTAAGTCAGACGCAGCTGTCATCCGTGCGCAGAGAAGTAAGCACAAGATGCCGAACACCCTTAGCAGGATGCAGCGCACCCTTCATGCGACTCGCCGAATACCTCACGGCGCTTCGAGCTTGGTGATGTGAGAGCCTGGTCCGGTGAGAACCCGGCGTGCTCCGTCCCGGTTTTGTAGGGATGCGAGGTCAATGGTCTAACGACTACGGCATGCAAAACATAAGAGTACGCCCACCCCACCCCCCGTCGACGATATCCCTAGAACACACCCGGGGTACATGCAACGCGAGCATCCCCGCGTGCTCTCTCCGACCTGCAGCACCCCCTCTTTTCTGCGGCAGGCAACTCCCTCAACGCATGAATTCCTACCTTCGCCTTTGCGCCTGCGCCTGCTTGTCTCTCGAGCCCCCCAGCCCCACCGCCGCCGTGGCGGCATCCTCCTCATCGTTAAGCTCGTAGAAGCCCGGCTTGGCACGGCTCTGCTTCCCTCCCTTGGTTGTTTTTCCGTCGCGACCTCGTTTCTTCCGCGGGACCACGTCGTCCTTCTTCCTAACCTTCCCGGCGCGGCCCGTAGCCTACGACGTATGGCGAGAAGCGAAAATTGACAGAGGTGGTAGAGAGAGAGAGGTGGTAGAGAGAGAGAGAGAGAGAGAGAGAGAGAGAGAGAAGGGCGATAAACCCGAGCTCGATTGGACATCCGAATTAGGATCGAACGGAATAACAACAAGAACGAATACGACCAAACGTCGATGCAGGTCGTAGAAACCCGTCATGAGCGTAGGTGGCCGGCGCAGAGTTAAACAATCGAACAGCACGCGACACTCACCGACCCATCGGAATCCGACCCCGCTGCCCCATCCCCTCGTTCCCCTTCCTCTTCGCTGAAGCCGCCATCCGACGACGACGACCCGGCTTCCGAGTCCCTCCCGGCAAGAGGGCTGCCATCCCTGCCGGACGTCCCCTTGTTGATGCCGCCGACCTTGGTGAACCGGTCCTCGATCGCGTCGTCCTCGGACTCTGCCTCGTCCTCCGTCTTCTGTCTCTGCGCTCGTCGCGTTTGGGAGTTCGGCCGGGGATACGCGACGGAGGACGTTTGGCGTGGGTGGAGCACCCCGCAAACATGGCAAGCATTGATCGATGGACGGTGTTTGGCCACCGGCGGGGGGGATTAGGGGCGCACTCGGAGTACATGTCACGGAGCATGATCGATCATTGTCCTGCTACGGTACAGCAGTAGCACCCCATACTCAATATGGTGCGCGGCCTACGGAAATGCCGGTGCGGAGCACTTGAGCGCGCAGGATAGCGATAAATCCTTCCCGTTGCCCGTGAAGCGAGCCAGGATTCGCGAGTCGCGCTCTGGGGTGGGTTCTTCAACAAGATTCAGATGATTCTGTAGCAATCTTCTCGAGAACAAATATCGAAGGCGAGTACTGCAGGAGGGGTCCGTGGGGGGGCTCAGGGGGAGGAAGCCTCCTGTGTGAGCACAGATTGGAGATAGCTCCTACCCTGCCGAAATAATCAGAACGCATATTTGAAGTGATGACAACCAGCAATCAAGACTCTCATAGCTATCAACGAAAGACTATGCGATACGTTGTCCGCACAAGCGTTACAGCAACAGGAGCGAGAGAGGACGAAAGAGACGGCGACGGCCTCGCTCACCATCTTATTCGCGATGACCGAAGTGGGGTGGGCCCTGGCGTACTCCTCGCTCTCCGGGTCCACCTCGAACTCCGCCGACTCGAACATCGCTCCGAAACGGTCGTCTCCGAGGGGGTTGCTGCTCGAGACAGCACCGCCGCCGCCGCCGCCGCCGCCTGCTCATGTTCCGATGCGTTGGTCATTGACAGGGGACGGCGGAATTTTGCTTCGGCGTTGACAACGGTGAAGGGAGGATCCCATCGGTAGCCGAAGTACAGCATGGGTTGGATGCACACAGGTGGACGTTCCTCGTTCATGAGATTTCCAAGACCAGCGTTATCCATAAGCGACGGGGCTTGCGGCACGGTATGCATACACACAACAAAGGCCAACACATAAAGCAAGTCCGAGAACAACAACAACAACAAACAAGCAACAACAACCACAGCAACACTACCAAGAACAGCAGTGTCAGCAGCATCAGCAGAAACAGCAAAAAACGCCTAAATCCTTGTCCGGTTTAAACTTCCGTACCTCCCTCCTCGCCTTCCAGCTTGGCCTTCCGCTTTTTCTTGTCCCCCGACTCCGCTTTGTCCAGGAGACGCTCCGCCATCGCCCGGTTGACCTTCCCAAAAAACACACGCGCAGAGGTCATCAGTCCAACCCGGGATGCAAACCTTCGGTTCGCAGCATCCGCTGACGGCTATAACATTCAGCATGGCTGGCACCCTCTGCTTCAGGCCAAGCCGCCATAAGAATAGAGCGGCAGTATCTCGACCGCGACAGACAACGAAAGCGGCGGCAAACGAAGGGCAACAAGCGTTCCAAAAAAAAGAAAGCCAAGCCCGTACACCCGGAACCAAAAACAAATCCCTTAGAAAATACCTGCCACCCCTACACACCAAAGACGGGCGCCCTCCCGGCGGTGCCGAAACAACCCGCATCGGGTGGGTGGGCCGCGTACGTACCTTGGGAAGGTTAGTCCGGATGGATATCCTGCTCTTCGTCTTCTCTTCCATCTTCTCCTTAACCTTCTTCTTGCGGTACTCCTCGTACGCGAACGGCTCTGAAACCGCTTTGAGCCTGGGAGACAAGAACGCCAACAGCCCACACGGGACACCGCCCCCATGGGACCCAACCACCACCACCACAATACAGCAAATACCCGCATCAGAAAACCGGGGGGGGGGAGCAGGGCAGCGGACGATAAAACGTCGGGCGGCTAACCAGTTAAGTCTTGCTGAGGAGGCTGGATATGGGCGTAGGTTTAGACCGTGTCTCGCACGCTACCGCTGAGCAGTACGCTACACAACAAGGCATGACGCCAGCGATGGCCGCGGCCGATCCAAGTCTTGGGGTATCTTCGCCATCCATGGACATGACCTGCATCAGGACACTACACGCCGGGGTCATACCGCAGGTGACAATACGGAATATACCACACACCGTTGGACCGACTTTCAAAGCTCGATAACTCCACGACCAATAGGATGCACATAAAAAGTGACACGTTTTGGGAAAGCTCTTGGCGAGACGGTTCCAACGCCGCCACTTCGGCACCGCCGCTGCTTTGAGTAATCGGGCTCTGAAAATCGGTCCGGAGGTGTGACATCTTGTGTCACCTACGGTATGGTATATAGCTTCGTCGTGTAAACTCACTCGCTCGGCATTATAGCACGCGGAGCTCGCCATTTCTCCTCCGCCTATAGCACACCCACACAAAATTCTTCAAACATGACACAGGCCTTCCGATGTATTTTACCTTGTGTAGAGCTTCATGTCCATGAAGTAGCCGTGCATGTAGCCCCTGAGCAACGGAGTGCCAACGAGGTTCGACACGCCAAGCTCTTCCACCTGTTGGGGGGCAAGCACACAACCGAGACAAAACAAACAAAAATTAGACAGTCGCGTACGTCAAGAAGCAAGAGAGGGCTCAGGTTAGGACCTACTAATACGAACGAGAGGAATATGGTACAACTCGATACAACAGTAGTAGATCCTTCATGAGGCTGCACAACAGTGCCAAGGGACATGGCCGGCCCTTGTACCGGGAACCCGGCACTGGTGTAGAGAGTGTGAAACAGACAATCTGTGTGCCGCGATCTCACCGGCCTTAAGACCACTACTCCTGTAGGTTAAAGAAAAAAAGCAGGGATAAAGAAACGTCGAGTAGATATCAACTTCAACAAGGCATTCCGGACAGAACCACCAAAAGCTAGGATACACAGGAACAAACGGGCAACGGGGACGCGTACAACAGTAAGACTGGAACACAAACACTACAAAAACAGAGCTCAACGGTATTTCATACTGAACTAGCACAAGCTAGGACGCCTGGGAACAACCAGGAAGACGGGTACGGTACAACGGTAAGACTAGAGACACAAAACAGAGCTCTACTCAAGACGGCATTCCAGAAGGAATTATAAAGTCAGGACACACAGGAACAAACAAGCAACGGGGACACGTACGACAGCAAGACTAGAGCCAATGAATCACAATAACAGAGCCCTACTTAATACGGCATTCCAGACTGAGTGATCAGTCAGAACACACAGGCGCAAATAGGCAACGGGAACACGTAGAACAGCAAGACCATAGCCAAAAAATCACACAACAACAGAGCTCTACTCAATGCGGCATTCCAATACGGCGTTCAATTCCAGAAACAATCACCAAAAACTAGGACACACAGGAACAATCAAGCGACCGAGACGTGCAAGACTAGAGCACGCACATACAAAAGATACAGAGCTCTATTCAACGCGGCATTCCATACGGAACTCGCAAGTCAGGACACGAAGGAACAACCAGGAAACGTACAACAACAAGGCTAGGGCCACGAAGACAACCCACCTCTGCGGTCGTGACGAATTTGTAGTCCTCGTAGACCGACGCCTCCTGCTCCTCCTCCAGCTCCTCCGTGAGCACGTCCAGGAAGGAGCACCACCGTGGGGCCGGTCCGAGCGCTGGGACGTAGTACGAGAGGACCCGGGACTGCTCCGTCGCCATGAGCAGGAGCCCGGAGTCGCCCCTGAGGAAGTGTGTTTTTCTCTTCAGTATTTTTCTGAACAAAAACGGAACAAGTAACTCGTCTCTTCGATCGATAGGTGCCCTGGATAGAATAGCGATGGATTCAAAGCGGCCAGCAGCCCCGAGTCGCCCCTGAGGAAGAGTGTTTTGCTCTTTTAAGGATTTTTCTTGAAAAAACAAAACAAATACAGTAACTCATCTCTTCCACCGATAAATGTCCTGGATAGAATAGCGATTGATTCATAGTGTTCAGGAGCCCCGAGTCGCCCCTGAGGACGTGTTACATTTTGTTCATTACTTTTCGTTCGAAATTACAATATCTTTTCACCGATAAGAGTTCGGCATAGATGAGCAATGGATTTGTAGTGCAGTACGATTGCCAACTCGAAATAAAACCGGAACAGATCGTCATGGTTAATGTCCGCGGGAAGACCTCAAACAAGATGGACGGGCGTAGTCGCTTCACCGCCAACAACAGGCATCCTCACGCTCTACAACAATATACCAGCGACGGACATTGGGACGGTTGCTGGTCGAAATAAAGGCCTCAGTCTCCGTCGACAATGCGACACGCCTCGACACAACTTTGTTCGCTGAATACAACTGACGACGCCATGACTCTGTCGGTGTGGTGTAGTTAGAGCACGGCAGGATGCCAATTGAAAAGTAGTATCCCGACTCTCCCGTACCATCCCAGTTCCGTCTGCAAAACGGCAACCAAATCTCAGATCCTCTAAAAAAAACCGCGCAATGTCTCTCCACCATGGGGACGCCGCACACGCGTGGGCGCAAACACCCTTTCACTGTGCCGGAGACCAGCGACGTATTCCCACTGGCTTACATGAGCAGCACCCGGACAAGAATATTCAACGGTCACCCGGTCGTCATTGCCGTTGCCAGTTACTGCAAGCAACCGCACCCCACCTTGCGTCGTGCGCCACGCAGACGTCGTTGATGTCCGCCGGCGTTTCTACGTTGGTCACCACCGCCCCATCGTCCCTGTTCCAGATCTTCACGGTCTTCGCGTCGGAGCTCAGCACTCTCCTCTCGGTGCCCTACGGAGGCGAAGCAGCAGGGCAAAGATGACGCACGCGACACACGCACACACAACAACAACGTCTGAGCTCAGCAGACGGGGGTACGAACAACACCAACGACGTGTTTCCGAACAAAAACTAGCACCTTTACCTGAACGGCAACGGCTAGGGCTGTACAAGTGTTACTGCTGCGGTCCCCGCTGATTGAACGACATCAACACATGAACCACAACGAAACGACACTGAAGTTCTACCAAAGTCAGATGTGACGGCCTGTACGCGTAACAGATAACCTGTCGGTCGGAAAACTCGCTACTGTACACACCTGGTGGAACTTGATCCCGGTGATCGGGAGGCCGTACTGGTGCTCCTTCACAAAGGTCGGCCTGGACGACCGCAGGTCGAAAGTCAGGCAATGCGCCGAGCTCGTGCCCACTCCCATCGTCAGCCCGTCGGTATCGAAGGCCACGGAAGAAACCTGCGCTTGGTGCCAGCGCAATATGTGAAAAAACGTACCCAAACATAGAGTATGGGTGCCAGCGCAATATGTGAAAAAATGTATCCAACATAAGAGTATGGATGGCAGCGCAATACTTGAAAAAAATTACCCAACATAAGAGTATGGATGGCAGCGCAATACGTGAAAAAAATGTATCCAACATTGAGTATGGATGGCAGCGCAATGCGTGAAAAAAATGTATCCAACTTTGAGAACCTTTTGCGTTACCCGAGGCTCGTCTCTTCTGTTCTATTTGGGTCACCAAACATGGGACCCTGAGCACCTATTCTCAACGTCGAGGCAATGAAACCTGTGTTACTCGTTGAGCCTGGACTTGTTGAATTGTTGTGTCGCGTGATATGAAAGGTGAAGGCTTGGTGGGTACACGTGGCATAATATATATATATATACATGGGAAACATCCAACAGCAGTAGCTGGCTGGTGCCGATCCTCGTCGTCAATCAAGTTAGTCCACGACAAAAAAAAACAAGAAATCCTTGCACGCAGGCCTACTAGGCGTGGTGACGGGTGGCATCACGGGGCGAAACAGCAACGGATGGGCTGCCGCAAAATAGAACAGAGGCTAGAGAGTGGGGGGATCAGACTACCGCGGGCGCAACAGAGCCGTTGCCAAGCCCGAGCAGGGTAAGTTTCCGTACTGCCCGGCCATGCTACGATTCGAATACCCGGAGCAGGGCATCTGAGACGCCCTTGCCCTCAAGCAGAAGCAACGGGCTGTCGGCGGCCACCCTTTTGTGGTGCAGGCGGTGCAAAGCGGAGAAGATGCCTGCGCCAACACCCGAGTACCTCCCACACCAGGTGGCGTGCTGCGCACCATCCTTCATCCCCACACAACCCCGAAGCAGCAACAGCAGCAATAGCAGCAGCAGCACCACCACCACCATATCCAATGCCAACAGAGAACGACGCTAGCCCTACCCACCTGGAACCCTCCCAGCGTCTGCTCCGCGGCCGTAACGGCGGCCGCGTCTACCGAGTCCCTGAGGTCCAGGCTCGCCACCGCGCGCCCCCCGCCCGACTGGCCCTGCCGCGAGTCCCACAAGTGCACGAAGCCGTCGTCGGTGCCGGCCGCCAAGAGCTGGTGCGCTACGCAGAGCTCGATCTTGTTGATCCCAGCCGTAGGATTCCTATAGGGAAATACAGCGGCGATTGTGCGGGGGGGGGTGCGTGTCAGTGTGCCGGTTGTGAAGAGTGATAACCACACGGCATGAATTCCTCAAACACGACCGCTACACGAGCAGATCGATACAGACTGGGGGGGCGCAGAGGGCAGAAGCAGCAGCAGCAGCAGCAGCAGCAGCAGCAGCAGCAGCAGAAGCACGACCACGACCACGACCACGACCACGACCACCACCGCAACCACCACCAAAAAACACATGGAACACATGCGAGGTTCCTTTCCATACCGCGCCGTGACGTCACGTCTTGACCTTCTTACCCCTGAGACGAAGAAGACCCCGAAGGCAACGTCATGGCGGTACGGAACCTCCCCTGGTCCAGGTTAAATCGGTGAATCTCACCGTCGCCACACCCCACCATCATATCGCCTGGCAGAAAAATCGAGACGGTGAAAAACAGTATATAAGACGACAGAGGCACCGCCGTACAATACTAATGTTCTTCGGGAGGGGGGCCACGGGCGTCCTTGAGATTTTGTGACAGGTCCTCAAAATACAACAGAAAGATAGATAGAGAGAAACAAGCATTCTTTCGCCAACTAGTCAAAATAGAGGTCTCGGCAAGACAGTTGAACGGCGTGGTTTGCTCTATCGCCTCGAGGAAAAACGGCGACGTGTTCCTTCGTTCACGCCCGTGCCTTGGTGCTTCTTCGCGAAGGCAATGTTACGCCAAAGGTAACGGCAGAATCAACGCGGGGTGAGAAAAACCTGACAGTGTCGCCCCTGTATCTCTCCGGTAGGCCCATCGTACAATCGTGCCGAGCGCCGCACAACTCGCAAGAGTTTACGCGCGTGACGAAACCGTGTACTTGGGTCTGTGCGAAACACTCCTACACATCGACCTATCTCTTGGCAGTCCAACAAAAAACCCGAGCGCGGCCTCCCCTCAGACGAGCAGAGTAGGACCATAAAGGTATGTTATACTAGGTACGCCAGTCTGTGCGCGACAGCAGCAGGCGGAAAGGCAACAAGAAAACAAAAGAAACACGTACGGCCGCCACTATAAGTCGATACTCACAGGTTTCCCTCTGGTACGCCAGCGACCTGCCGAAGCGGGGTATCCGGACGGAGTGGTGCTTGCCGTAGCCCGCGTGAAACGCCAGCGTCCTGTCGGCCAAAAGGAACGCGAGCTTCTCGTAGCCCTCGGCCAGCGGCATGAAGTCCACCGCTTCGCAGTCGAGGTGGCGCTCGAACTTCATCGACAGGTCGGCCACCTCGAACACTTTTGGGGTGTGGAAGGCGGAGGACGGGAGGGAGGATGCTTGGCAATAGGACGGTCGTGGCCAACACACATACACACATGGAAAAGAGGAGGGAACCACATCCGACGCGAAAAATGGCCTAGAATAGCTTCAGAAATCCTGACGGCGACAAATGACTGCGAATTAAGGCAACCGTCATGGCAGGAGGCGTGAGAGTTGATGTTTATTCGAGATCTACGTGCGTGCTCTTTCATTTATTCGTCTATGAAGATCAGCAACGTCAAAAACAGGCGGAGAAATGCTGGAACCGGAAGACAACGACGTGCAAAAACACCAGCCGCTTTAAAGCTGAAGCGGTGCCACAACATCGGCGGAAAAAAAATCGGGGTGTAGTCGCGCACTCGTTGAACACAAAGCACAAAACCTAGACGACTAGCCACCCAACTCGTACGAGACCATGCAGCCTGGTCTGCTGGACGAGCCGAAATAACCGGGCAGCTTACCCTTGATCTGCGGCGGGTACGTGCCCGCGACGATAACGTACTGCGCGTCCGGCGACACGCAGACCTTCTGAGAGGCCGTCGGGAAGTCGAAGTCCTGCAGCAGCTCGATCCTTCTTCGGTACTCCACGTCCTTCGACAGGGAGCGCCGCTTCTTCTCGGAGAGCCATTGCGGTAAGGTTTTCCCTGCAAGGCCCGGGAACGCGCGTGGCCCGCAAGCAGTGAGTGACGTTCGATATGGGTGGGGGCGCCGCTGTTTCTGATGTTTTAGGTCAAGGAAACCCGTGTGACATTGAGCACTGATGTATTTGGGTGAGTTAACTCCACCATTTAGATGCGTGCATTTCGTGATCGCCGTCACATGGAGCAGCAGTGGCAACACTTCCGGAAGCCACATTTCTCTCGTACAGTTTCTTTATACTTCCTCTGTATATGTTCAATCTCTAAATAACCTTGCATGGAGATTGCAGGGGGACGACACCTCTGTCTCGAACTACCACTAGATTTTTTCTAAGATACTGTAAACGCTACTGCTGTACACACAAGGAACTAGATTTCCAGAAGAAACTAATAACTTAAGGTGGTCCATGTCATGCAGGATCGAAGCTCCTGCCGCGTCTCTTCAACAAGACAGCACCATAGCCGTCCTTGGCTGCTGCGCTAGCCCCACGAAAATCCCACGAATTTTTCAACCATAGACAGCGCCTGCTATTCGCTGTGTGGGGCATCTGTTTCATATATCGAACAGCGTGGACAAATCGAAACCCAAGACGCGAGGTACGATCGTACGATCGCCGTCAACGACTCACAAGCCCACAAGTACGCTGAGCGTCCCCAGTCCCCAGAGCTGAGAAAAGTGTGTACAGCGTACTGCAAGCATGTAGCCCGACATTTTCAGCGAGAACGAAGGAAGGCAAGATGCAAACACATAGCTATCGCTGCACAACTTGAATTGAAGAGCCTTGTGGCGTGTCACCGGGGATGCGGCAAGTGACTGCGATCAAACGGAGACCATACGAAGCCCCACAAAGCTGACAGTCCCGTGAGGTTCGCTCCACAGCCTGGCTTGGAGCCAGACGAGATGAAGCCAAAGACAAGGCTACGGGTGAAACGAACTCTACTATACACAAGAAAATAAGCCTGCAAGGAGAGTCTACCAGCCCGAAATAACGGGCTCAGCCTGCACGCGACACTAGCACAGGAGCAAGCAGCAGGCTATGTACCTGACGAGAGGTTGTAGATCTTGACGCCATGAAACGTGGACACTTGCATCCCCGACATGTCGGTGGCCGAGGAAGCAAGACCAGGGCTACGCCGACGACACAACCAGCCTCCACACACCACGGCAACCAATTGAGAATTCCTGGTGTCTCTCCCTCTCTCTCTTCGGTCTCTGGTCTTGGTGAAGACAAGGCTGCTGAGCAGCTGAGTGGTGCCGCCTGACCAAGTAACTTGCTTGATGACAAAAAAAGGGGCCACGTGTTTCATGTTACCCCCCCCCAAATCTGTCCCGTGAGTGGCTGCTGTGGGGGCAGCTCCGCCTCCAACCTTATCAGCTGTCAGCCCTCTCCAGCTGCCACCATGTGCGGGAGAGACACATGGCTTCTGTAGGACTCATGCAATGTGTGGATCCGTCTGATGGCAGGTCTTGCAAACGGCGCCGTCCCTACCAGGATGCGGGGGCGGCGAGGTCCGCCCCGGCCACCTCGCGACAACGCACTGCTGTTGCCTGTACGATGCAGCAGCAGGATGTAGGTACAGAGGAGGAGACAGACGAAGCGAGCGGTGACAATGATAGCGGCAGTGAGTACCAGGAGGACGACGAGGATGAGGATGAGGACGAGGCACCCGCAGGACCGCAACAGGCACCCGCAGTACAGCAACAGCGGCGTCATCAGGGACGAGTGGTGTCTCGACGCTCTGCTGGCGACGGCAGCAGCTGGGGAGGTGGCAGTGTTGCTGGATACGAATGCCTGATCTGTGGCAAGTCGTTTAGCAAGGCCTGCAAGCTGGCGCGGCACGCCGCGACACACACAGGGGAGAAACCATTCGTTTGCAGCGAAGCTGGGTAAGTGAGGTTTTTGCCGTTTCTTTGGGATGTAACTACAGCAGTATCGTGTGTCGTGCGGCGTTTCTGTCAACTTTCGTGCCAAGCGAACGCTTGAATCAGCTTGGTACGGTGTGCACTACACTCAGCGGCCTCTAGGCAGTAGAAAAACCCTCCGCCCTCCAAACCCTCCATCAGCCTCCATCAGCACCAAACCAAACGCCAACACGACCGTGTCTCGCGTGAGCTACAGAGGTTGTGTACTTGTACAAAAACGCTTGGAACCCGAGGGTCGTAGCATGGATCGAAATGCGGAGGAAATATGCGCCCATCCTCCACCAATTCACGAAAGCCAGACATTGGGCAGCACAAGCAGAGGCGAGGTTACGTCCTCTCTCTACTTGCCATTCACCCCTCCATCTGTTCTGAGAGACCACCCAAACACCTTCTCCTCCCCCTTTTCTCTCTCGCGACCTTGGGGGATTGTAAGCTGCGGCAAGGCGTTCGCGACAAAGGACAAGCTCGATCGACACGCCCTCTCCCACGCCCGCCGGAAAGCCGGTCTCTCGACATCCGTGGGCGATGCCGCCCGCCGCGAAGCCGAAACCCGGCAACGCGCGGCCGCTTTCGTCGCGGAGGCCGCAGCAGCGGGCGTCTCGCTCGAGGAGCCAGGGGCAGGGGGAATAGGGGCGCCTCGGCGTGTGCTCCCCTTGATGAAAACGACCACGGCTCCGCTTCTGGAGGCGTCGAGATTGGAGAGGGAGCGGGCGGTGAATGGCTCCGGCAGCGGAGGCGGCGGGGCTCAAGGGTGGAAGTTCACCTGCGGGAACTGCGGGAGGAATTTCTTGGACAACTACCACCTCCAGCGCCACATCAAGGCCATCCACGAAGCCCCTCGTCCGTACACCTGCGACCACCCGGTGGTCGTGCCGCCCCCAACAGCCCCGTCTGCCGCTAGCGTTGCCGACGGCACCGCTGCGGCCTTTGCCACCGCGTTTCCTGGCGGTTCGCGGGCGAGGTGTGAGCGGCAGGGAGAGGAGGTTGTTGCTGAAGCGCGCGGGGAGGCGAAAGAAGGGAAGGATGTGTCAAGGGCGAAAGGGTCGGTAGGAGGAGTGGAGGCTGAAGGGGGTGCCACAGAACGGGGCCTTCAGCAGCAGCCGCAGCAGAAGCAGCAACGGGTGTTGGGGGTGTGCGGCGCGTCGTTTGCGAAGAAGTGGCAGCTGCGGGAACACCTTTTCGCGGAACACGGCCAATCCAAGTGAGGGAAGCGTCCATTGGGCGCCGTTATGGAAATCGAACTGCAGTCCATGCGCGCACGTCTCGATTGTTTTGTTGCAGTTTGCGCCAGTAGTCATGTCTACAGTGTTGTTCTCCTGGTAGGTGCGTCGAGCCTTGGCTTCATTTTTGTGTTCGTTTTCTTCTCGATGTTACGCTTGGTCTCCTTCAACGGCATTACCTGTTATTCTTGTGAAAAGGGTAAACACCGTTGGTGTTTAGCCTTCCGGGCGCGTTATCGCTGTGCTATATATATATACAGGGGAGGGGGGGAGGGGGTTTAGCGATACCTGATGTCACGACGAAATGTGGCCGCTATCCAGGCCAGGTCGCTAAACCGAGCGAACAACTATGTAGCAGTTATACTACCGAGGTACGGCGGTGCCACGGGATTTTGTGGTCGCTAAACAGGGCATGTCGCTAAACAGGGGGTCGCGAAACCGAGGGCCCCACTGTATTTACTCGTCGTACGCGCCTATGGTGCGCAATTCGACTTCATGGCCAACCAAGCCGATCATGGCAGCTAAACATTGTGCCTTGGATGTTTTTCGGCTCTTGTGCTGGAAGTATTTCGTAGTTTGCCGATAGTCCAGTGTGCCCCGGGACGGTTGGATTCACGCCCATGGCTTCATCCTCTCTTCTTCGAGACCTGTGCTTTGTCAAAATATCGGCGTAACGTCTATTTTGGTAGATCAAAGTTTCGTGTTTCCCGATAAATAGTCAGTCCATGTACGGTGGAGTCTGTGCCGAGAACACCCATGAAGCTCCTAACGCTCAAGTCTCGGGGGGGGTGGCGCAGGTTCAACAGCAGGCAGCACCGGTGCTCCCACGCTGGGTGCGGGCGGTCCTTCGACCGGCCGAGCAAGCTGGCCGCGCACGAGAAGACCCACAAGGCCCGCTTCGTGTGCCAGTTCGACGGCTGCGGAGCGGCCTTCGTCCTTGCGTCCGGCCTAAACCTCCACCTCAAGGAGAAGCATCCCTTCAGGTGAGGAGGTGGCGTACAGTATGAACTGATGCTGTTGCTGTGCTATGTAAAGGGCCTGTATGGGGCTTTCCTCCCCATACGGTTGAGAATTTTTGTGATGCTTGAGGTTTTGGACCGGTGAGGGAGGTGATGGGTGGTGGCGGTGGGGGGATTGGTGAGCAAGATGATCAACATTCTGCTTGAGGAGTGAATGAGAGCCTTGGGTAGGTCAGTCACGAGTGTTGGAATTGTTTGCCGGTGAGCAGCGAGGGCCAGGAGCCAGGAGCGACTGTACGGCTCTTGGAAGCTGTTTGTCTGCGGACACGGCGTTGGTGTCATATACATCCCCAATGCATTTCCACAGATAAAACGACGGCCCGGAGTGTAGGAAGCGCGGTCTGTCCGATCAGGGTAACCGTCTGCCTTTTCAGTCGAAGCTTGTAACGTCCTGGTCCGTCCACCTCGCGACCTCTATTTTGGCTACCCCTCGGGCGCAAGGGCAGTCTGCCGATTGCGTGTGTGCCTTCGTCCTGAATTGTTTTCTACTTCAAGTAGGACCCAATAAAGGTTCTCATGCCAACCACTTACGTGCGTGAACAGCAAAGCGCCCAATCACGCACAGTATCTACCAGTACTCACCGCCAAAGGTTTCTACGCAACCGAAGATTGGGGTTGGGGTTGGAGTTGGAGAAATGGTGAAGGTCTTCGCCGTCGTCGACTCCATGTATCCTTGCCACCCAAACAGATTTCCGTACACGAACCCCCAACGGAATTGGCCATCAGGTGCGGGGTATGCGACAAGGTTTTCGATCGGGAGGACAAAATGCAGATTCACCAAGCAACGCACGCCAGGGCGGGTGACGGGGACTTCATCCGGCCCTACCATTGTAACGTGCGTGGCTGCGGGAAGGCCTTCACGGAGAAGCGGAACCTTAACGCTCACCGTCGCACAGCGCACACTGAGGTGCGTCGAGCGACACAGAATGAGGGCGGGGGGGAGGGGAGGGCGATACACCGTAACTTTGATTCGACATTGTTGGTGGGGTATGTGCCGACCGATGCGGCCCGCTCGGTGTTGAAGCCAGGGTTTTCGTGCAGTCCAGTAGAATCTAGATGAGCACCATGGGCTGCCTAGGGCCCCGTACTTCTCTTTTGAAAATGGTAGTGTGGTTTTTCGGTTCTTCAAGTTCCGTTGCCGTGGTCCACGCGCACATCTTTTTTTCATGGTGTGTGGGTGTATCGAACATGCTCATTACCCGGCTGTATGCGCGCACGGCAATTCCAGCCGTGGCCTCGAGTCCTTTTCCTGTAACACCGATGGTTGATGTGTGGTACACTCCATTTTTCTTTGTTTAGCCGTGACCCTTCTCCCCCTTGCACGGTGCTGTCAAATAGGGTGGGCGCAAGCGCTTCCGGTGCGAGGTTAAGGGCTGCGGCATGGCCTATGCCCACCGCCACACGCTGGTCAAGCATGTCAAGAGGGAGCACCAATCGTCCTCTGGTGGCAGCAGCAGCAGCAACGCAGCAAAAGAGGCACCAACGACTACCCCATCAGCATGAAATCGACCGAAAGTGCTCGAGATTCTCACTTTCGTCCGGCTGCCGCGTTGGTCTTTGCTTCAGGTTGTGTATCCTCTTGGCTGTTGTGATCTGCCTGTGTCAAGTCGTTGTGAAGTCTTCTTGCAGTTATCGTTGGGAACGCTTGGGCGATGTCGATGACACCGCAACTTTGGGTCGGTTTGGTCAGATCACCCCATGCTGTCGATGGCCGGCTCCAGGAGGCCTTCGCTTATGTTTGTTCGAGCTGTTTCTGGATATCTGAATTTCCTCTGTTGTAAGTAAATTGTTCACAGTAAGTTATTGCTGGTAGCCGGTCTTGAGCTGGCGGCGATGTAAAAATTCCTACGTTGTTCATCTGACGTGGTTGAGCATCCTAGATTTAGCGAAACTGGGCACCGATGCGAGATTATTCCGCATCCGCGTTTTGTGCTTGCC